AATGAACTTCAATGCATTCATGACGTCGTCAGTTTGGACTAAGAGGACTTGTGCATTCATTAGAATCTAGACCTCCCTGAAGGGTTCAAGATCAATGTTTTACACCTTTTGAGGAACAGGGAATCCCTTAGCGCACCTAAGGGCTTACTATGACCAACTCGTAGGAGTTGGGAAGGATTAAACTGTGCTGATGCGTCTTTTTAGCCGAAGTTTAAGCGGGGAGACTTTGGAATGGTCTATATCTCAAGAGACTCGACAGTGGTCTAGCCGGAATGTTTGGCTAAGGACTTCATCGATAGGTTTGCCTACAATGTAGAGATCATCCATGATCCTTATTCCTTAGAAACGATGAAAAAAACCCAAAAGATACCTATAGATAGTTTTTGTACAAGTGGCGCAAAGAGGAAACTAGAGTACGATCTCTTATGTCCGAAAAAGAGATAGTTGAAGTGTTTGTGCAGGTGCAAGAGCCTGAATACTATGATGGAATCATGTTGCTCGTTAGATCAAAATTTGATGAGATAGTCAAGGTTTGTGAAACTATCGAGGATGGATTAAAAACCGAGAAGATAGCCCGCGTTGTTGCGTCATCCGGATCATCGGGTTTGTTCAAGAAGAAAAGAGAAGATGTTTCTGCTGTCTCTTACGAGGGGAGAAAGACCCCTGGAAGATCATCATCCTACCAAGTTCGTCCTCGACCTTCCCAGAATTCTTACCAGGATTGCTATACGCAAAGTGGTTATCCAAATACTCTTCCTCCCATCCACCAAAATACTATTTCAACATACCAAAATACCCCCCTTTAAAATTAGCAAAATCTATCTCCCATTTACAAAAATTCTCCCCCACTTTATCAAATTACATCCCCCATTTACCAAAATGTTGCTCCTAATTGTTTCAATGTGCAGTCAAACGATAGAGCAACCCCTCCTCCGTATATCAAGTTCAAGCTCCATTATACCAAAATACCCCTCTTAATTACCAAGCTCCATTTTTAAATTATCAAACAAATCCTTATCCAAGAAATCAAACTCCCCGTCCAAATATCCAAAATTATCAACAAATGTCTCCTCCCCAACAAGGCAACTATGATCCCCCTAGACCTAGATTTGAGAAGAAGCCCTTTAGAAACTTTTGTCGCGCTCGGTGAAAGACGAACAAAGTTGCACGAGCGACTGACTACGATTGGATACATTCACCCGATGGGGCCTAAGCCAGTGGATACTAGTTCCAAATTCTAAAGACCCGATCAAAGGTGTGTACATCACTCCATCAGTGTTGGACATGATATTAGGGATTGCATCAACATCAAACACAAGATTCAAGATCTGATCGACCAAAAAATGGTTTCCCTTCAAAGAACCACGCCCTTTGTCAACACCAATCCTTTATCGAATCACAGAGGTGTCAATATCAACATGATAGAGCCGGATAATGACTGGGGCATGACAAAAGCAATATTCTTGATTGTTCATGATGATTTGTAAAGAGAAGTGGCTTTACTGAGTATCAAGGATAAAAATGAGTTCGTGATTCTGACACCCGCAATGGTTGTTGCCTTGGTGCCAATGGAAACTCTGTTAAGGCTAAAGTTTTTGATCGAAATTGCTATAGCTCAGGGTATGACCAGGTCTGACAGGTTTTATACTACCGAAGAGTTGACCTATGAAGGGAAAAAGAAGGACCAAGAAAAGAGACTTATAAGCGAAGGCAAAGCGGAAGAATTCTGGAGAAAGATGCAGCTGAAAGACTACTCGATTGTTAAGCATTTGGAGAAAAAACCGGCTCAGATTTCTGTGTGGGCACTATTGATGAGCTCCCAGCTGCATAGGCAGGCCTTGATGAAGGCTCTGGATAACACGTATAAGCTTGTGGGAACAAGCAGCGATAATGTAGCAGATATGATCAACCAAGTTATCCGAAGGCATCGGAATAGCTTCTGTGACAATGAGTTGCCCCTTGAAGGGAGGTCGCACAACAAGGCATTGCATGTCACTGTTATATGGCGTAAAAGGATCATAAACCGTGTCTAATGGATGATGGGTCTGGTCTCAACATTTTCCCACTTACGACTCTGAGATAGTTAAGGTTTGACTTGGGAAAGCTGGAACAAAACCAAGTCAATGTAAGAGCTTTCGATGGGAAATAAAGAGACATATTGGGAGCGGTGAAGTTGGTAATTCAAATGGGTCCGGCTGAGTACAGTGCACTTTTTTAGGTCTTGGACATTGAAATGAGCTATAACCTTTTTCTGGGAAGGCCTTTCATCCACATGGCTGGGGATGTGCCTTTTTCTCTCCACGACATGATGAAACTCGTTTGGAGGGACCAAGAACTAGTTATTCATGACGAAGGGAGTTACTCTGGTAAACAAGCACATATTATTAACGAAGTCTCACGACACATTAATTCCTAGACAGTGGAGCTGGTAAATGCCATCGGTGAGGATTTGGCCCCACAACATCTTATGCCTTCTTTGTAAAAGATGAATGCCACTGTGATGCTGCAGAATGGTTTTGAGCCAAGTTTCAGATTGTCAAGGAATTCCCAAGGAATCATTGAGCATATTGAAGTTCCTTTCAAAGAAGTGAGATATGGTTTGGGGGTACGTCCCCACATATGATTGATGAAGATGAAGAAGAACATTGGTCAAGCATTGGCTAGGACAATCCCTCATTTGTACCTATCATTTCCAGTTCGGGAGTATGACGATCTTGATGGTCTTGGGGAAGGAATCTGGGGCCTTTTTGAAGAGATTGACGTCTTCATAGAAAAAGAGGTCGAGCTAGCTAGTATCCGCGATGCTGAGCCTAGAGAGCAGCTACAGATTGGACTTCTACACTAATATTGATTCCCTGATAGTCTTGGTAGAAGGACGTTATTTATACATGTTTTGAAAATCGGTGGTAGTCCAGAATAGGCCCGAGACCCACCATTTTGTTTTTTCTTTACTTGTTTGAATTTTTAAAATTCCCCCGTGATGTTTAAAAAGGCAACATGGCCCTTTGTCATGGCCAAACTTTGCGTTGTTCTTCAATTTGAATGAATGCCTCTTTTATTGAAAACTTGTTTATTTACTTATCTGCTATATTTAACTTGCCTAACTTTCTCTGTTTATGAATTCATAATATTAAATTTAAACCTGTCAATTTCATGTCATGTCACAAACTAAATGAACAAAATGATGCAGGCGATGACGAGGGTGAAGAATACGAAGAGGAAAATAAGGTACCGAAATATGTCGCTGAGGAATTTCGACATTTCAAAAATCACATAAGCCAAATTTGGAGGAAACTGAAACAGTGAATGTAGGAGACCAAGAGTTTGTCAAAGAAATTAAAATCAATGTCCACTTGAATGGACCTCAAATAAAAGATCTGATACATTTGCTTAATGAATACATTGATGTGTTCATCTAGGAAGTCAGTGACCTGCTAGGGCTGAGTACGAATGTGGTGTCTCACAAGTTGCTGATTAATCCGGGGTTCAGTCCAGTGAAAGAAAAATCTCAGAAGTTCAGGCCTGAGTTAAGTTTAATGATTAAAGAAGATATCACCAAACATATCGAGTCTCGATTAGCGGAAGTGATGCAATGCCCAACTTGGTCGGTCAATATTGTTTCGGTCGCCAAAAAAGATGGGAAGATCAGAATTTGTGTCGATTATAGAGATCTCAACAAAGCAATACCAAAGGATAATTTTCCATTTCCAAACATTCATATTCTTATCGATAACTGTGCTAAGCATGAAATGCACTCGTTTGTGGATTTTTACGGAGGTTATCACCAGATCCTGATAGATGAAGAAGTTTTAGAAAAGACAACTTTTATTACGCCTTGGGGTGTATATCATTACATGGTGATGCCATTTGGTCCAAAAAGTACTGGTGCTATCGATATGAGGGCTATGACGACCATATTTTATGACATAATCCATAAGGAGATCGAGGTGTATGTAGATGACGTCATAATCAAGTCCCGCGAGAGTTCGGACCACTTGAGGCATTTAAAAAGGTTCTTTGATCGTCTGCGTCATTACAATTTGAAGTTGAATCCTGCTAAATGTGCTTTTATGGTGCCGACCGGTAAGGTTTTGGGATTTATAGTCAGCAAAAGGGAATGATCTCAACCCTTCCAAGATTAAGGCAATTCAAGAGTTATCTCCTCCGAAGACGAAGAAGGATGTAATGAGTTTCTTAGAGAGGTTGAACTACATCAGTCGGTTCATAGATCAATCCATCGTGGTGTGTAAGCCTATCTTCAAGCTGTTTAAAAAAGATGTTTTGACAAAGTGGACTGAAGAATGTCAGACTGCTTTTGATACTATAAAGAACTATTTGTCCAATCCACCAGTGTTTGTGCCTCCGCGAGAAGGAATCCCACTGTTTCTATATTTATCCATCTCAAATAACGCATTTGGATGCATACTTGGTCAGCATAACAAGACCAGGGAATAAAGAGCGAGCAATTTATTACATAAGCAAGAAGTTCACTCCATACGAGTCTCGCTATACTGTTATGGAGAGAACGTGTTGTGCTTTGACTTGGATTTCCCAGATATTGAGGCATTATTTGTTTCCTTATACCACATACCTTATTTCTTTGATGGACCCATTGAAGTGCATTTTTCAAAAAGCGATGCCACTGGAAAGTTGGCTAAATGACAAATGTTTTTGAGTGAATTTGATATTGTGAATGTGACCCAGAAGGCGATAAAAGCACAGGCCTTGGCTGATCATCTTGCAGAAAATCCTATCGATGAAGAGCATGAACCACTAAAGACTTATTTTTCCGATGAAGAAATAATGTTTATGGGTGAAGATATTTCTGAAGCATATCCGAGTTGGAGGTTATTCTTTGTTGGAGTGAAAAATCATCAAGGAAGAGGTATTGGAGCAGTCTTAGTGTCAGAATCTGGTCAATACTAGCCTATGGCGTCTAAACTCCAATTTAATTGCACGAACAACATGGATGAATATGAAGTTGTATCCTTGGTTTGAAAATGGCCATCGACACGAATGTTCATGAACTTCTGGTTATTGGAGATTCAATATTGTTGATTCAGCAGTTTCAAAAAGAAAAAGCTGTGAAGTTTTTGAAGATCACATCGTATGTGCAATATATATAAAAGTTGTGCAAGAGATTCTGCAAGATCGAGTTCAGACACACTCCTAGAACACCGAATGAGTTGGCTGATGCTCTTGCCACCATCGCCTCAATGATTAAACATCCAGATGCTGATTATATTGATCCTCTGAGTTAAAGGAGCAGCTAGTACATTGTTCCCATGTTGAAGCAGAACCAAATGGTTTGCCACGGTATTTTGATATCAAGAAATATTTAGAGTCCGAAACTTATTATAAGAATGCGACATTTAACAAGAAAAAGTCGCTACGCCGTTAGGCTCTCAACTTCTTTCTAAGCGGGGAAGTCCTTTATAGGAGGACTCCAAATTTAGGTCTTCTCAGATGTATCGATGTTGTTGAAGCTGCAAAGCTTTTCAAACAGATACATGTTGGAGTTTGTGGAACGCACATGAATGGACACACTTTGGCAAGGAAGATCGTTCAATCAGGTTATTTTTGGATGACTATGGAGCATGATTGTTGCAAATTTTTGAAGAAATATCATAAATGTCAAGTGCACGGTGATTTAATCAGAGTGCCTCCTCACGAACTCAATGCTATGAGTTCACCTTGGCCGTTTGTAGCTTGGGGCATGGATGTTATCGGTCGGATAGAGCTAGCCGCTTCTAATGGACACAAATTTATTTTGGTTTCCATTAAGTACTTCACCAAGTGGGTGGAAACAGCTTCGTACAAGTCAGTGACCAAGAAAGTGATAGCTGATTTTGTTTGCAATAATCTGATATGCATGTTTGGAGTACCAAAGTCCATCATTACTGATAATTGTGTCAATCTCAATAGTCACTTAATGAGAGATATATGTGAACAGTTCAAGATTACTCATCGAAACACAACCGTTTATCGTCTTCAAATGAATGGAGCTGTAGAGGCTACCAATAAGAACATCAAGAAGATTCTGAGGTAAATGATTGACAATCACCGAGGCTGGCATGAAATTTTACCATATGCTCTTTTGGGTTACCGAGCGACTATCAGAACGTCAATTGGAGCTACTCCATACTTGCTAGTATATAGAACAGAAGTAGTCATACCCGCTGAAGTTAAAATACCGTCTTTGAGAATCATCCAAGAAGCTAAGTTGAGTAATGTTGAATGGGTCAGCAAGAGGATCGATCAGTTAAACTTGATCGATGAGAAGAGAATTTTTGTTGTTTGTCATGGTCAACTATAACGACAAAGGATGATTCGTGCTTTTAACAAGAGAATAAGAGCAAGAAATTTTGAAATCAGTTAGTTGGTCCATAAAACACATTTTTCCTTTATCAGCATGAGTACAAAAGAAAATTTACACCGAATTGGCAAGGAACCTACATGGTTTGCAAGGTATTATCCAGAGGTGCTTTGATCCTGTCGGAGATGGATGGCACCGCATGTCCGAAAATGATAAACTCAGACGCCTTCGAGAGATATTACGCGTGAAGCTTCAATTTGTATTTCTTTTAATTCCCTGTAATTGCTATATTTGCTTGTAACTGTTTTGTTTGAAATTTTATCCCTTTTGTAATGAACTATGTTCGACCTAAATTCTCAAGAACGAGATATGTAAACGGCCTATGTCGGCCTCGGTCGATTTCTTTGTAAATTTCTCATTTTGTTAAGCCTTTGAAAGAAAACTATGTTTGACCTGATTCCTGTATCAAGGGATACGTAGGTGTCACAAGGGTTCGATCATATTTCCCGTAAGATTTCTATTTCTCTTTACGATAAAAACTGGGATAGAATTTTGAGAGAATCTAAAAATTCCATGATTTACTCACCAACTATTAAAGATAAGCTGATATATGTAATTGGGACAAAAATTTTGAGGATGATCTCAAAATTTCAGTATAGTTTTATCGACAGTCTAGAGTGACTCTGAATACTCCCAAACAAATAATCAGATAGATCTCCAAGCATCAAACTCAAAGAAGTTCGCTAAGCCTGATGTGACATATTACTTGACAGTAAATCTTTTTCCAAAATACTACTTTTCGAAAATTTTATTTTTTTTAAAAAATTTTTCCTTTACATTTCATTTGTTTTTACATAAATATTTTATCTTATCTATCAAGAGTCGGGAGATAAGAAAATCAACCGGAGAAGGAAGAAGCAAACAACTGAAAAAATTAACACATTTAAGTTCATTTTAAAACTGATGATTTTTCTATGGATGCAGATATATAAGTTTACTTTAAAATTAGCATATTCCTCCAATCGAGGAACATGGAGAAGTCAATGGGCGAAGAGTCTCCAAAATTGACAATTTTTCGGTGGATGCATGAATTTTGTATATTGCTTATATCGAAGACTTGGGGAACGTGAACAACATGGTTTCATCCAATTCTCAACAACATGAAGTCAATAGCAAATATAAAACTATGTTCAAAGATGAATCAAATAAAAACCTCGAGGTGATGCATTGCCTGGAGGATCGTTTCATTCGTGTTTTCAATAAAAACGATACACTATCAGGAGGGTCATTTTACCATTTCGTCAATTGAGATGATATCACTATTCAGAAGACACCTAGAAGACACTATGTCACTCGATCGGAACACTGTCTCTATTTGGTAACAAGGATGGCCTCGCAAAAAATCATGCATCGGAGTTGATATCATGCATCGTGAGTTAATATTCATGCACCGCGAAAAGTCATGCATCACGAGTTAATATTCATGCACCGCAAGAAGATATTAATGCGTCACAGAAAATCATGCATTGCGAGTTAATATTCATGCATCGTGGAAAGTCATGCATCGCAAAAAGATATTCACGCCTCGCAAAAAATACCATGCACCGCGAGAAGATATTTATGCCTCGAGAAAGTCATGCATCTCATGAAGATATTCATATTATGCAAGAAAATATTCATGAATCACAAAAAATCATGCATCGCGAGTTAATACTCATACCCCGCGAAAAATCATGCAGCCGGAAGATATTCATGCCTCATGAGAAAATATTCAAGCATTGTCGAGAAGTCATGCATTGCAAGAGGAGAATTTATGCATTGCGAGAAAATGTCAATGCATCGCAGAAAGAAGTCATGCATTTCAAGAGGAAAATTCATGCATCGCGAAAAGAAGTCATGCATTGCAGGAGAAAATTCATACATCGTGGAAAGAAATCATGCATTGCAAGAGGAAAATTCATGCATCACGAAAAGTCATACATTGCAAGAGAAATTCATGCATCACGAAGAAGAAGTCATTCATAGCAAGAGAAAAAAGCCATGCATTGCAAAAGTCATGCATTGCAAGAGAAGGAATCCATGCATCGCGGGAAAAATGTCATAAATCACGGGAAAAGTCATGTATTGCGGAGAAAAAGTCATGCATTGCTAGAGAAATTCATGCAATATGGAAAATCATGCATCGTGAGAAGATATTCATGCATTGCGGGAAAATGTCATGCATCGTGGAAAAATTCATGCATCGCGAAGAGAAATCATGCACTGCCAGAGAAGGAAATCGTGCGTACCAAGAGAATATTTGTCTGTCGACATCAACTGCATCTTTTATTTTGAAAAGAGTAAACGCCAAGAAAATCATCAAAGATGACTTTAAGAGAATCTCAACACACTGCATCAGCTTTTATTTATTTTGACATCAAATGAAGAGTACATGGAATTTCCGTTACAAATATAAGACATAAGCTTTATTTTCTTTATGTCAAACCCGATCGAGTCGATGTCAAATATTGAAGGAGAACAACTAAGTGTCAACCGTTTAAAAGATATTGTCTCTCATTTGAATCGCATTTTTATGCTGACGAGTTTTATCTCAGTCTTTGTCGAGAGAACCCGAACGGGTGAATTCTCCAAAAATAAATCACAGCTGCAGACGACATCAAAATGGATGCAACACAACGTGGAACTTTTTTTAGCAGCAAACTGGGACATAGTTCTAAGAGGAGTGCAAAACTCTTAAGACGCGAGCAGAGGAGCGACTTCCGCTACAATCAAACGACACCCCTATCAGAAGGCATATGGGTTTTTCTCTAGATTTCCTGGTTTCAGTTTTGCATTCAGAAATTTTAGTATCTACCAAAAGCAAGTTTCCAATCTGAGTGACGATGCACCAAGAGCTTTGGAAACTTATGTCTGTATGAGTTCTTAATAATGGGTGTGAAGTACACTACATTCATGGCTAAGAGGTTACAAGCCTCCTTTCATACTCGATTTAATTTGTCACTTATCCAGAACCAAAGGTTATCTAGCATAATTGATTTTCTTTCATCGATCGAGTCGAACTACACGCAGCCTGATTCCTAGGATTTTGAGGATATGTAGGCGGGCTCATGTTGAAAATTTGGCTGTATTCCGACGTTCGCTCTTAAATTCTTATTCCCGAGTATTCAGTCCCTTCATAATTTGGTATCAGGGTGACTTTGAATTCTTTTTGAAGTTGTGCGTCAAATCATACGTGTCGAACTACAAGTCACTTGAATTCTCATATAGCCTGAGATAAGTAGGAAGCCATTTTTCAGGGTTCGGCAATAATTCCTAAGGTACGAACCAAATTTTGTTGGAAAGATGAATTTGTGGACGTTCAAAATTGGCTCGGTCAATTTCATTTTCCTCAAATTTCTTGCATCCATCCGATAAAAATGAGCGACATTTGTTGACACCCAATTTTGACCCTTCCCACGAGAAAATTAATTAGCAAGTTTCTTAATTTTAAAACGATTTTAAAATAATTGGCTTTTTATAAAGTTTAAAATGTTTTGAAGTTATTTTAAATTAATCCTATCACTTTTATAATTTTTAGATGATATATATGTTTGTAATTATATATACAATCAATATATTGTTCGTTTATTCAAAAATCGCCTAAAAAAGATTTACTTCGTTTAATACTAATTAGTTCGATTATAGTTTATGCATAGATCATTTAGTTAGTAATTAAGTTAATTTTTGTATTTGATTAACACTAAAGAAACTTACTAATTAATTCATTTATCTTATTATGGACAAAATATTTTTAACCCACTTTTGTTAAGCCCCCGAAAATGGACCATTTGTTAGCATATTCTCTAGCTCAATCCCAAGTTAATTACCATCATATTTCAGCCAAACAAACTTATTTGCTCCTAATTGGATTCCAATTATTTCCAGCCCATCGTCTCCCATACCCGACCCATTTCTTTGTTCTAAAAGATATCCAGCGTTCACATGGCGTTAAGGAAAATGACGTTGTCCATATACAGCTAAACGACATCAATGCATACAGGCAGAACGCTGGGTTTTGTCTCTTCCTTCAACGTCCCTTTCCCATTTGCTATTGGGACAGCAACAGGGGCACGCGGAATATTCCTCACGTCTTAGGATTGAGACGCATAGCTTTAAAGTACATTGGATCAATCAAGCCCCTCCATATCCCCTTATCGTTTTTGGAATAGGGCAAAATTTTCAGAAAGGGTGTCTCCGTATTTTCGGAAAAGAGGTTTTGAATTTGGAAAGAAGGGGCCCATTTTCTTGTCTGAGTTCTGTAAGTCCCCCCCCCCCCCCAAAGGAAACCCTAACCTCTTTCTATAAAGGCTTTCATTTATATTTTGGGAGGTTGGTAAATTTTGTGGGTGATTTTTGTAAAGACTTGGAAGAAGCTTTGAGAGTTTCTAACCTTTTCTGGAAATCTAGCAGGAAATCTCTTAGGCATAAAATAGAGAAGTGAGGTGAGGAAGAAAACATTAGGAAAATATATAAGAAATACATTTTGTAAGGGAGAGATTCTGGAAGGAATGTTTTAGAAAAACCGTTGGGAAGATTTTCGTTTTAATTATTTTTCTTAAACCAAAGTATAAAGAATAGTCTCAAAGAGAAAAAAGGAAAACGTAGTCTATTTTGAGATAGCAAGAACGAACTCATTTTGTTCAGAATATCATTCCTCCATTTCATTTTGTTGATCACCCCCAGAAATTTAGCTC